TGAAATGATGAACCTAGCTAGCCTTTATTTATAATATTTGGAGAAACTAGAAACCCTATAAAATACAGTTTTTGGATTTATGAACTTCTCAAGAGAAGTTAATGGAGCTGAAATTTTATGAATGAGATTGAATTGATCATGAAAGCCCCTAATTAGATGAAATAACTTATGAATAATTTGTTAGATCTTTTAAATAGGTAGAATTAGATGAGTTTGAATATCCAAGACCTTCGCTTGAGAAAATAGATTTATGGTTATATTTTGAAGTCCTAAGTGTTCAATGTTGTTGAGAAAAGGAAGTTTTCTATAATTTAGCATGTTAACTTTCAGTTCGTCGGTTGAGGTAGGTTATGATTTACTTAGAGTTAGACTTTTCTTAGTTGATGATATGTAATATAAATTGTATTGCATGTTGATTGATGTCCGAACATAGTTAGTACTATTTATGAGTGAATTAGTGTTTTTTTGTTTAATAAGCATTTAAACTAGTGAATTATCTATTTTACTAATGTTATGTATTATGACTTATCATTATCTTATATTGCAAGTTGTTTATTTTTTTTTTAGTTAAACTTGATAGATTATTATTTTTGTCAAATATTTTAATAAATTTTATGATATTATATTTATAATATTTATCTTTTTGTCAAACATACATTGCATGATGTTCATAGAAATTTTATAGTTTTGTTTATATAATTTAGGGGTGTGCATTCGATTTTTCAATTCAGTTTTGTGTTATTCGTTTTAGGTTTTTCAATTTTTGATTTTGAAAAAGTATAACCCAATCTGAACCAAAAAAGTTGATTCAGTTAGGTTTTTCTCTTTTCAGTTTTTTTTTTTACTATTCGGTTATAAACTATTTCATAACTAATTAATAACATAATCAAAGTTGTATTTGCATGCTTAAAAAATAAAATTCATATAAGGAAAAGTACTAATATTGAATTTTTTAAATACCCTATCCAATATAATCATGAGTAAAACATTAAAACACAATATTATCAATAGATAATTCTAATGAAACTAACTCTAAACTCTAAAGTACTATCACTAAACACAATCACATCGAGGTTGAACCAACAATTCAACTCATGTCTTAATTTTGCTAGTTTTTGTTTACGAAAGTGCAAGTAACATGTGATATTTATAGTTATAATGTTAAAATCTAATGACTAAACTTAGTGAAATAGAATGACTGTAATGTGATATGGGCCTAAATATTATGGTAATATTGAATTACTAGTATCCTATATTGTAAACCTAAATGTTATGTGTGTAACTATTAATCTATATATATAATTCGGGTTCTTTTGGTTTTTCGCTTTTTATTTTTCTAAATTCGAAATCAAATCAAAAAAACAAACAAAATTACAATTCCGTTTGGTCTAATTTGATTTTTTTGGGTTACTCAAAATAGTGCACACCCATAATATAATTAGTTAATTAAAATATACTAATTTTTTAAAAATATAAATTATTTTTTATATAATATTAGTTAAGAATATAGGTTTATTATTAATATATTTTTAAAAGATAACTTATATCTTATAAATTTAGTATCATTTATAAAGACTCTTATTTGTCCAATATAAATTTTAATTTAGATAATTATCCTTGATTAAAAAAATTCAATATAACTTATGATTACACTTGTGCAACCAAGAAGTACACTTGTACAAGTCAACGTAATTTCCTAGTAATTACACTCATTTTAATTAACATGTGACTTTCCAAATGCATTCTTACTTTTTTTATGTGAATAAATAGTAGTAATCTAATTGCCAAACACACTAACACACCATGGAAGGTGACTACAAAATAGCAAAATCAATTTATAGTAAAAGTAGACTCCGATGAAGCATTTTTCCTACTTGGTGCCCGCTATAAATTTTTGAAGTAATTTAAATGGAAATTAAAAGAGAAGAAAAAAGGGGTCATTTGGGTAAAAGTGGTCCATGACAGGTCCGGTTCTTGCTACTTGGTCTTCTATACAACAGACATACTGGAAAAGCAAGTTGTGATTTGTTTATTAATATGCTCTCCCATTCAAAGGACCAAAATTGATGAAACAAAAGCAAACATATAAAAGAAGAAAAAGAGTTTTAACTTCTTTAAACTAGCAAGAAAAATATCAGAGGCGAATTCAGGTTTTAAAAATTTTGGGTGTACTAATACAAGTTTTAAGCTAAACTTAGAATTAAAAAATGAAATAGGTGCTAACTCGGTCTAAACCGTGGTCTTGTAGGTAATTTCACTAGCTTGCAGTGGTAGATCTACGATTTTAAAATTGTAGGTGCTCTAAAAGTTGCGGAATCAAAAATACAAATGATATTTTAATAATGAAATTCGAACTCAAGCTCAACAACACTAAAAGAGTCTTAAGCTCCCACTCAAAAGTCAATGGACCAATCAGATCATATATTCATTTGATGCTCTATGTTAAATTTATAAAGATACCGCTTAATTTCTACATAACTAGTGAGTCTGCCCCTACTAGCTTGTATCAAGTGCACAGGGGCACTTCTATGTTATTTCTTGGTGTACTGTTAAGTATATCCTACTTTCTGATAGTTTTTTAAGATAGATATATATGCATACATATGATTTTTTTCGAAGTTGACGGGTGCACGTATGCCCTCACTAAACCATGTGGTTCCACTGCTAGGTACATCGATCAACTCACCTAAAAGATAATTATTATGATAAATAAGTTTGGTAATCGGAAAGAAATGCACAAATTGTTTCTAATTACTGTAAGTTAAAAATATACAAATATGACCTTCAACTTTATTTCGATTTTATTTTTGCTCTTCAACTTTGGTTGTGCACAAGTCGACACTTAAACTTATATAAAATTGAATAGATAGATACATTCATCCTACGTGACATCCTACCTGACAATTTTATGTCCTACAAGTATTATGTCACATAAAACGTTTATATCTACTTGTTTAATTTTATACACACTCAAAATTGAAGAACATAAACACCAACTAAACAAAATTAAATGATGTATTTATATATTATGCGTATATTATAAGTTTGATTCCAAATCCAAAAAGAAAGAAAGAAAACAAAGGGCAAGTCTGGCGGGGTTTTGGGGAATCAAAGAGTGAGCAACTCGAAGAGGTAAACAAGGCTGAATCTTCGCCGTTATTAATGTAATTTTAATATCCAAACAGCTATTGCTTGTGATCAGATTTCAGCTAAAATCAAGCCTTTTTGCCCCTTTGTTTTTTCTAATAAACTATTTCTCTATAAACAAAACACACATCCAAACAAGTGTGAAATGACAGGACATGTTGGAAACCCCTTCACCTTACTTATTATCCACTATTACTATATTATTTTATTTTTTTTTGGTTATTTTTTACTTAACTAAAATAAAAAGATACATAATTATTTTCTTTTTTCATGTTTTACCCATAATAGTAATTATTTGTTTTCTAAATTATTTTTCAAGATCTAATACTCCATTTGTTCGGAGTTAATTGGCAGTTGGCATATATATTAAGAAAGAATAATTTTGATATATTGAGTTTACTAATTCACCTATTTTAATTGATGGATCACAAATATATTTACTGATTAAATCAACGCTAATAAATTGAAGATATAATAGAAAAAAAATTATATTTTTCTTTATTTTATCAAAAATGACAACTAACAAGAGAAATCAAATTAGGAAATATTTAACAAGTGAATTCAAACGGAGAGAATACTAAAACATCAATTAGTAGGGATAGTTTGATAAAATAATTATGTCAATTTTTTTTTAAAAAAAATTTATACTCTCTCTATCCCTAATAATTACTTGTCCATTTTTCTTTTATAGTTGTCCCTGATTACTTGTCCGTTTTGATAAATTAAGAAAGGACAAATTTTTTAACCTATTATATCCTCATTTAATTACTTTTAAAAAAAAACTTTTTTAAAATCTTAAATTTTTAATTCATTCACTTCATAATTAATAGGATAAAATGATAAATTCATTATATCAATAATTATTTTTTTATAGGTATGTTAATTTAAAAGTGGATAAATAATTAAGAATAGAAGGAATATCAAATTTAAAAGTGATTAGTAAAAATGAACGAAATGATTAATAAAAACTTTTGGCCAAAAAAGAAAGAGCTAATTTATAAGTTATGGAGTAAAGGTGTTTGCTTTTTCATTTTATCATTGAAATTTGAAACAATCAATTCATGTTGATTAGTTTGTATGAATTAACTACTCAAATAAAAGGGTCATGCATCTCTTTTACTTTTTCCCTTTTCCAAATTCCAATTTTTAAACTGCCCAAACCCCTCTCTCATCTAATCTATCAAAAAATTAGTGATGAATTGTCAACATATATAGTTCAAATAAGAAAGATTTAAGAAAAAATTAGTTAAAAAGTACTAAATATTAGGAATTTTTTATCTTACAATTGAGTGTTAAATATTAGAATAAAAATTAAAAACTAATCATTTAACAACATATCTTAATGCATTTTCCTTATTTTTATCAACAGTCTAAATCTCAAAAGTATCAAAAGCTTGGCCCACACGATAGAAACAAAAGTGAAAGAAACTTAAACCCCACAATGGCAAAGAGATACACCAAATATCACTATCCTTAGAATACGTGGATATAATGAAAACTGTAATACGTTCACTCATATAAAATTATTATTTTTTAAAAACTCGAAGAAAAGCGACAATAACTACGATTTTTGTTTTTTGAATGAGCATGGAATGTCAAATAAATTTCAAATCATATATAGGAGGTAAATTATACTAAGCAAATTCTATCAAACAAATAGACTCAACACCAATGAAATTTTAATGACTCAAAATCCAATGAAAATTACCTTCTTTTCTTTATATGTCATGAATCAAAAAATAGAGATTTATATGAATTTTTTTCTTTCATAAAATTGACAAATTTCCAATCATCTCTATAATTATTTCAACAATATAAGGAAAGTTCAAATAAAAATTGAATAAAATTGTTGATTTAGTAGAAGGATTGTAATAAAATTTCAGATCTCAAAGGTATAAACATATTGCAATAAGAAGAATTGCATAATTATCCATAATCACATCTAGCCAACAAATTTTCCTTCTCATTACTCCATATTCTATGGTTATAATATAATCCCACAAGACCTAACTCTCTAAATTTAAACAAAGTAAAAAAAAGTTCATGCACCCTCCGAAATATGAAAAAATTATGAAAACACACAACACCACCAAAATAATATTGGATCATACACTTCTAGCCAACATTTCTTGAAATCTTCTATAAGATTCAACTTTCTCCAACCTAAACCTTTCATGTGAATTTGCAATGAACATATCAGCAAGCTTATCAATATCATTATTGTCCTTTTCTTCAAGCCATTGAAGATAGCCAGAGAGTTCAGACTCATCACAAGCACTAGAAATAATAGAATTCCATGTAGAATCATAGTAGACATCAAATGCTGTTGGAACAGGCACTGGCATCACATGAGAAGAACACCAATTATAATGCAACCTAAATGAACCAACAAACAACTTCACATTATTCTTCTTCTTCTTCATAATTTGTAATAATAATGATTTCGCTTTCGTTATAGCTCTATATATGTGGGAGAAAATAAAGGATTGTACTAAGCTCTTAAGCTTCAAAGAGTTTATGCTAGTAGATGATGATTTTAGGGAAGTTTTTGGATGAGAGGAGCAAACCATTTTTTTTTTTTTTTTGGATGTGTAATGTGGCTTGTTCTAATGGGATATATGAAGGATCTTTCATTACCAATTTATCACTAGTAAGTAGGTAATTTATAGAAAGTGTCAACCACCTTGCAAATTTTTCTAACACTTTTTATTTTTTTTTTATTTTTTTTAATATCTTCCTTTCATTTGTTTTTTGGGGGTTTTATACTAGCTTTAGACAACTACTGTACCTCCTTGTTTGGTGGAATAAAGCAAATCACCGTATGGAATTTACTCCAATTTGATTTGTATTGTGAAGAAAGTATACAAATATGTACATCTATACTAGCGATTTACAAAGGTTCTAATTTTAACCATAGTATTTTGCTGTAATGACCAAGAACTTAACTAATAGCACAAGCAAATATCAGTTTCAACTTAAAATGAAACACCACCTTTTTCCATATTCCACAAGTGATTTCTTTTTATACAAATTACATTGCATGTTGTTTTTATCCTGATCACAAAATGAATGTGATAACACTTGTTTAAATTCACCCAAGACAAGTCAATCTAAACCCAAAAATATGAAGAAATGCGAAAATAAATCAAAAATAGCATAAGTGCGAAAAGTTAATTTATAAACACCGCTAGAATATGATTGTCACGTGTCCAAACTACTAAGATGACGTAGACAAAAATCAACCTCTTCCCGGTGAGGTTTTGATGTATCATAGAAATCGAAAAGCAACTTCTAAGTGAGATGATCTTGGCTTGTCCTTATAAAAATCGATTGATCATTCATTCCTATGTTGTAAGTGTAAGCAATATCTAGACGATAATTAGTCAGGTAAAAACAAGCCTCAACAAGTCTCCCGGCAAGTAGATGGGTCATCCAATAGCTATCCTGCACCTGAGACTTGGTAATACAATTTTTTTTAAAAAAATATAAGTCTCAATGTCTTTGTTTCTAGAACAAAACAAAGCAAAAAATAAGGAACAAGAGTGTCCGTTGGGATGACAAGCAATTACCTCTTGGTAGATCCTTTGAAACCCTCATAGAAAGATGAAGGTTAATAACCACATGGTCCACCTCGAAACCTACACAAGTGTAAAAGAAAATAGTGAGTACCAAACAACACAATATTCAACAAAGGTACCCACTAAACAAGGTAAAACTAATTTAGAATACAAGTACTCCTTTCATCCTAACAAAACTGTCTTAACTACAACTTGTATAGAAATCAGCCCAACCTAACAACTCACGTTACACAACCCATAAGGCTCAACAATCATAATCTAACATTCATAGTTCAAAATCAACAAGTATCAAGTTAATCAATTACGAATAGCAAGTATGTCAATCACAAACATCATATGTCTCAATCACAAGTATTAGGTTCAAATCACAAAGTCAAAGATTGTCGAAATCATTTCCCATCAGCACAAAACCGATTGCAGAAACCAATTTTCATCGACACAATATCACTCATCGAAACCATTTTCCATCGACACAACATCATTCACTGTAACCATCCCCATTGAATTTGTATAATTTCACTTGTCGAAACTATTTTTCATCGATATAATTACCACATATCTCATCGTGTACAAAAATTAATGCAAATAGACAATCTCACATCATAAGGAAGAGATGATTAATTTAAGCAATTTAAGTCCACAATATTGTCAACAATGCATTTCATCATTCTACAAATTAGAATCAATACTAAAGGCAATTCATAAAACAACTATCAACATATTGCTATTCTATTTTATCCTTTTTTTATTCATTAATATCAATCAAGTAGAGTAATTGAACTGGTCACCTTATTATCATTCCTCCCCGTGACACAGAATGAAGAAAAATACAAGATTCTACAAGTTTTATAAAGTTAAGAAGTTCACTTGTTTCATCCAATCAAAAATCACTCCAAGACTTGTGTCATCCCTTTAAAAACAATATCCAAAGCCACACAATTTAATCAAACAATTAATCATAATAATATTCCAAAAATTTCAACAATCATATCATACACTTTGAAAAATGGGTCAAATCCACTCAAAAATTCAATTCCAGTAATAGGGTTTGAATCCAGAAAAAAATAACTTGAAAACATTGTCCAAGTCATTGGAACTCATTAGAAAAATATTTTGAAAAAGGAATAAAAATCCGTTCATAATCACCATTTTACTTTAGAACTCACGTTCTTGAAAAACTTTCACTTGATCAATCAAAATATCAAATTTTGATGTTAAAATCTACAAATGATCCAAGGGAACTTTGAGTTTTAAGGTTACAAACATTTAGCCAAATGATTTAGCACTAGAAATTTGTTTAACATCGCTTCCAATAATTTTCAAAACTCAAAATGTGAAAAAATGAGGTAAAACCCTAAATTTCATATATCAACCCTCTTAGATATCACAAAAGAGAGCGTAGGTTCACTTTCTCAAACTCACAATCACGATCTTTGGTTAACAAAAGCAAACCCTGAATCGCAACAGATAGATCCTGCGTAAATGTGATGGTTAATGGAGTCTGACCCCTCGCGAATGCTACTAGGAACTCACTAATGCAGACCTCGTGAAAGCACACCATCATTTATGATTTCAAGGCACACCAGATATCATAAAACCAATCAACTCTCAAATCTACAAATGGATCCACAAAAATCGTCCAGAACCTCATATACAAACCACATATTCTATTCAATTACACTCGATGGTTTAGATACAATAGAACCATCGAAACATAAATTTGAGGTCTCCAAGACCCAAAACTCGTAAAAGTCGCAATGAACAAACATAACGTCTAAAAAGGTTAAATCAAGTTCAGGGCTTTTGAATATTCAATCAAGACCGCCTCAAGACCTTAAATTATCCACCAAATATAGTGGAACTTTTAGAAAGTGATCTGAGAATTCAAACTCCAAATGTTGACCAAAGTCAATCTAAAGGCTAAAATTTCACACATTTCAAGCTTAGGACCCCAAATCTATGAAAACACTCTGAATTAAAATTCTTAAAGACACAAGCACAGTTTAACAACTTTAGCCTTTTTGAATTCTCAGACATTCATTATTCACATTTTTCCGCTCAAAGTTTAAAACCAAATTCAAACTCCAATCATAAATTATTTGGGATCGATATCGTGAGGAGTAAAATGATAATTTTATGAAAAATCTTAAAATGACATTCCAGTTGGTTACATTTCCATTGCAATTTTTTCTATAGTTTATGTGTGATACTAAGAATTAAGGATCTCTCTTGATTCCATTTGATCTGAAAATTGAAAGAACATTCAGGCATATAAGGTTGTATATTGCAATGGATGATCAAAAGAATCTAACAGTAGTTGTTGAGGTTGTTGCTACACCAATTCCTACACAAATGGGCCATGTCGGGGCATTTAACCTCCACTGCTAACTGATACTAAAAAAAATTTGTGAATTACATGGGGATTAGTATGAAAATTCGCAGGGAACTTATTTTTCTGCAAATTTTCATACTAATCCCCGAAAAAAAATCCCCATATAATTTACACTTTTCTTATAGTGTGAAAATACAAACTTTAATACCATTGTTAGAGTGAAAGACATATATGCTCTAATTTATGGACAACAGGGGCATTAATGTCCCAAAAATATGGCAGAGGGTATCTGCACACCATTTACGATAGATCGGGGATATATTTATCCTTTTTCGATTAAAATTTAGAGATTTAGTCTATGTGGCAGTGGAACCCTATTGGCGTGTAATGTGGCATCTACATGACATTTAACAGCTTTCGTTAATAAGAAGCACACTTTTGACATAATTGTTTGACGAAAATGGTAGTTTTGAGCCGAAATATAGTTTAAGGGTAAATATGAGTTATTTCAAATAGTTTAAGGGTATTTTAGATTCTTTTACTTTTAGTGTATGTGACAGTAGAACCCTATTGCGTGAAATATGGCATCCATATGGTATTTAACAACTTTCGTTAATAAAAAGGACACTTTTGACCCAACAGTATGACGAGAATGATATTTTTGAGCCGAAATATAGTTCAAGGTTAAATATGAGCTATTTCGAATAGTTTAAGGGTATTTGACCTTTTTTCGTATTAAAAATATTGAATAAAAATAAAAATCAATATTTAAAATAGTAAATGGAAGAAATGTTACTTCCTTTATCCAATAATAGTTATCTACTATTGGTTTGACACTGGGTTATGAAGTAGTAAATGATTGGGATAATTTGACCAAATCATCTTATGAAATATAAGTCATCTAAACATTGAAAATAGGAAAAATGCATACATCCGAAATTTTAGAGACACACTTGTATTATACTAAGGTCCTATTATCCCCTGAGCTTATTTTATAAATAATTTTCTACCATTTTTCGGCCTACATGGCACTAGCTTTAAAAAAATAATTCAACATGCATTGGGACCACAAGATAGTGCCACATATACCGAAAGGTCGTAGAAAACTATATATAAAAGAGGTTCAGGAGGGTATAGAACCTTCGTATAGTATAAGTATGTCTCTGAGATTTCGGCATAGGTTGAGGAGATACTTGTGCATTTTCCCTTGAAAATAAGTAGTATTTAATATCAATAGTAGAAAGATGTAACAACCCTAAAATAGAATAGGATAAATACTTAAGGTTATTTAATTATTATTTAAAATCTAAAATATTGAAGGGCGTAATGGTCCTTTCACGTATTAGTTGATATAAATCAGATTTGTATAGATTTAATTAAATTCTATTTTGACTAAGTCTTGAATTAAGACTCCTAAACCTATGCTACCACTCTCCTAATCACGTTTATCACCTCTCCACGTTCAAAAAGGAAAAAAAACTCTCTTGTTCTCTCTGCCAATTAACGTGCCAAAAACTTTGAAAAAAATTCTTCACACTTGAATAACTCACTAAAAAGTTTAAGAAAACATGTTAGTCAAAAACGTTAAGACAGGGGAGATTTCCGTCGAGTTGGTGGTGGAACTTTAGGTGAATTGGGCGTGGTTTTGGAGACAAGTTTGGGCAGAAACTTCAAGCTTGAACAACATCAAAAAGGTATGGGTTTCTCTCTCTTGGTCCCTTTCCTAAGAGGCCCCTTACGATTCAAACTATTCACTTCGAAACTAAAGTTTTTCCCCTTTGTATGTCCTTGTCCCTATCTCCTAAATGAATTCATAGGATGGGTATATTATGCTGGTAGATTTAGGCATGAATGATGTGTTTATATTAAATGTGACATAAAAATAAATTTCCTCGTCTTTGGGAATACGGAATTCTATGAAAGGGTCTCGGGAGCCAGGATGCATGCCAGTTTCATACGACAGGCACGTACGCGGTGAATCAGGTTGAAAGTGATGGCCACCAAAAACTGGCGGAATGTCGCACTTTCCAATCTACGTTCTAGCACACCAATTCCAGCGGAATTTGAATTCCAAAAGGGTCGCAGGCGGAACGGAA